TTCACATTGTTTTACAAAGTAGGATTTGAAAGTAGTACTTTTTAAAAAAAAAAACAAGCTATAGGAGTCATAAAAAGAAAATATTTTTTAAGTTGACTGCCAGAATAACTCTTTTAAAAACATAGTGTGAAAATACAAAAATGTTTGTTTAAATAAAACCCCTTCACTCACAATGTATAAAATATATGTGAGAGATGAAGTATATAGCCAACAGGGCAAACCATGTGCAGCTTGTACTAGATAATGGATTAAGTAGAATTATAAAAAGAAAATGCTGTCAAGTAAATAGGATAAAGTTGAACAACGATAGAAAAATGAATAAAGCATGTGGGCAGATGCTACTAATTCACCAAAGAAAAATACAGTTGGCTAGTTAACATATGAAGCGAAGAATTACAAATTCAAACAAGAAACTTTTTTTTAAACCACAGGTTAGATCAGCCATCAGAAAGAAATATGTATTCAAGAGATGCCCGTTGCCTGTGTGACAGCCCCACCCCTCAATCAGAATGGCCGAAATGTAAAAGATTGATGCTAATAGTTGATGAAAATTGAATACTTCTGTGTATTAGTGGTAGGAGGGAAATTGGTGCTCTTTAACTTAACTGTGTACAGTTGGCACTGAACTGAGAAAACCACACGTGATCCTAAGGCAGTTACTACACACATGTGTGCAAATTCTTCCCATGGAGAATGTGCTTAGATTAAATATAGTGTCTGTGGAAAGATAGTAGCCAAATGCCAATCATGCTATAGTCATCACATTCATAAGCACTGGGATACTAACGAAAAGGTTGACAGTTCAAACCCACTCAGAGACACCGTAGAAGCAAGAAGTAAGACCTGTCAGTCAGCTTCCAAAAAGTCAGTTTTAAGAGCGTCATGTAACATTTTATTCAACACACATGGGATCACCATGGACCAGAATCCACTGAGTAGCAGCTCACAACATTTTTTAAAATGCCTAGATTTATCAAAACAACTATGAGATATCCTCTCACTCCAGTCAGAATAGCAAAATTTAACAGAACAGCAAGCAACAAATGCTGGCGAGATTGTAGAGAAACTGGAACTCATATTCACTGCTGGTGGGAGTGTAAAATGGTGCAACCCACTCTGGAAAGCAGTATGGCGCTTTCTCAAAAAGTTGCAAATAGAGATACTATTTGACCCAGCAGTTCCACTACTGGGAATATATTCCAAAGAGACCATAACTGACATCCAAGCAGATATATGCACACCCATGTTTATTGCAGCTTTGTTCACAATAGCGAGGAGTTGGAAACAACCCAGGTGCCCATCAACAAACGAATGGATAGAGACGCTGTGGTATATTCACACAATGAAATACTACGCTGCATTGAAAAACAAGGAATTCATGCAATATTATTCAAAATGGGTGACCCTGGAGGACATTATGCTGAGTGAAATATCTCAGTTGCAAAAGGAAAAATACTGCATGGTGCCACTGCTGTAAAATGGGACTGATATCAGGGTTGTGCTAAGACTGAGAAAAACTGGATAAATTGTGTCTACTGCACTGAAACAGATGAGGGAGTGAATAATTTAAAAGCAATGTATGGTAGGGTCTTGTGGTTATCACAGGAGTCCACAATTAAGGTTGCATAGTGGAGTGTACGTGGGGCGGTGGGAGGGGTGCAGGGGGGAATTGTATATCAAAGAATTTTACTTTTCAAAGAGAGGAGCGAACTGGAGGGGGAGAGCCTGGGGAGGGCTGGGCAGGGAGAAAAGTGCAACAATGAATGAATGGAAATCCAAAATCTCTGTAAATGTTCATTAAAATTATTTTTAATAAATGCGTAGATTTGTCTTTTTCGTTTTAGCATGAGTCATTTCAGCAGGTGCTCTCTAAATGCTTTGGTTGTGACATGTGCCCAGGGGAGGGACACAGGCAAATGGGCCCTGGCTGTGGACCGGGCAAAGGAGAGCTCAGCTTGACCCTTTAAATTAACCAGGCTCTGGATGTTAGCTGGCTGGTGTGCAGAAGGAGCTGCACTTCCAGATAAACTACATGGTGCCCAGAACAGGGCCAGCAACCAAACTGGAAATGAGACCACAAGTTCAACTAGTAGCTGATCAGGAATAAAACTGGGTGTGAAATGAGAGAACATTCCAGACAGAGGAAATGGGCTGAGGGAACATTCATAGTTCAGAAAAAGGGTGTGTCTGTGTTTTTATTATTTGTTCTGTAACATTAATAGCAGACTATTTATGAGAAGTCTCAGGTCAGTGTAGTCCCAACTGCTTAACCTGCTGTGTAAATCCACTAATTTCTAACATTAATAACTTCGTCCATGGCTCAGTTCCCCAATTCCTCTATAATCTTTGGGTTTGGTGATTTGCTGCAAGGTCCTCCAGAAACTCACACCTGTCGGGGAATGACTGTCGTGACTGTAGGTATGCAGGCCAAATTTTTGTAGAAACTGGTGAGCAATGGACTAGGCTGGATGCAGCTGGATACTTAGTTTACTGTATACAATTTCTCAGTCCAGACAACTTCACATCCTACGTTAACACAGTCAGGCTACTGCTCCTTTGTTGCTGTTTTCATACACCCCACGGTGTGGAGTGCATGCTTATATTGAATCCACAGCTGTTTATGACTTGCGAGACCACATGCCCACATCAAGGTAGCTGGAGATCATTTCCCCAGAGGGGGCTAGGAAAGCAGTTACCAAGGTCTCTGACACACAGTCTGTTTGAGGTGGAGTTGTGAGCATTTCAGGATCCTTGAACTTAGGGAAAAAGAGGTAAGTAGACCCCTTTTCTCCTGAGAAAGAGTGTAACGGGCCTCGTTGGCCAAGTTAGAGCCATGACATAGCCAGGCCTGTGTGATTAAATTATCCTGCCGCCCCTAGTGAGTCCATGAGAGCAAGAAGGGGAAGCGGGGAGCAGGCAGGAGGCCGTCTGGAGGCTGTTGCTGTGATTCAGAGAGGATGACATGCCCTTGAACCATCCTGGCGTCTGGGAACCTGTGAACAGCCAAGAGAGAAAATGTATTAAGCCACATTGTCCAAGATGATTCTGTAGTCTGAACAAGATCACAAGTTGGTCATAATGAGATCAATTTATTCTTCTGACCCCTTGTTGTGAGGCATCCATTGTGAGGTGCAGTCAGGTCGGTCCTGAAGTAAACATTGCCCAGCCCTGCACCAGCCTCTATGGCCTGCTGTGCGTGGGCTATTGGTGCATATTTCTGGGGTTTTGTGGCCTAACAAAGTTGTCCCCTAACCTTCCTCAGAAGTTGTCAGGAGTGTGGGTTCTGGGATCATCCTCCCCCCCCCGCCCCCGCCCCCCCCGGCATGCCCAACTCATTGTCCAATTGGGTAGCCTGAAACACTTCATAAATTCTGTCTGTATTTTGTATAGTATTTTTATGTCATAGGCCTGCCTTCTGTTACTGTCATCATCCACTGATCTCTCCTAAGTGCCTTCATCTGCTTTCCAAACGCCCTGACGTCTGCGCTGTAGTCACATCCATGGGATTTTTGTTGGCAATGCCTTCGGGTCCTTAAGATCTTAAAATACTTTTCTCTTTCTGTCTCATCCCCTCCTAAGAGGAGACTCATTTGGGAATCAGCTTACTTAGATCGTAGCTTAATTTGTTTAATTATAAACTGAACAAAGGCAACCCAGAGAAAAGTAAATCTGACTTAGGAAGGACTGGGATCATCTAGTTTTGAGAGAACTAATAGGCAAGCATGAATGGCAAATTGTTTAAGGTAAACGCTTAATAAAACACCACTACAGCCTAAAACAGTGGCGAAGAACTGTTTACCATGGCCTGTTTGAGATGATGTGGCTCTAATTACCACAGGACACATGTCCTGTCCTGGCCAGCCATCCAGGTTGGCCCAAAACCACTGCAGAGATGCCAATAATGACAGCTTCGGCCAATGGGACTGTCTTGCCCTGTGCTAGTGAACTATCAGCAGTGGGTAATTATAACTTAGAGCACATTGTTCTCACAGTAATTAATCAGCATGTGATTTTTTGCATTCCCCAAGAGCCCTGGTAGTGCTGTAAGTAAGCCATTCCCTGCTAATCAGAAGGTTGACAGTTCAAGCCCATCAGCTGCTCCATTGAAGAAAGCGGAAGCAGCCTGCTTGCCTAAAGCGGTAGAGCTGTGGAAGCCTAGAGGGCAGTTCTGCCATCTCCTGCAGGGCACTCTGAGTCAGAATCCACTTGGTGGATGCAAGTTTGAGTTTTAGGTACCAAAGACAAGAGTCATTGTGCTTTCCCAAACAACGTTGTTACGGAGGCATTAGGCCTCACTTGGACTAACAGCCATTTAGCCTCCATTAGTTTAATTTACCAGACATTTAATTCAATATAATCCAGCAAATACTTGCAGGACCCTGCCCCTTTGAGCATGTTTTCTGTGGTGGAAGATGGGGCCCTCCACCCCCAAGGCACTCCAGGGCTCTTCTCATGGTTTACAGCCCTTCTTGGGGGGGTCACTGCCGGCGGGCAGTAAGTCTGGATAATGGAGTAGCCATTGCAGCTGTGGCCTCCCTGAGCATGCGTGCTGCACCAGCTATTTTATATACATCAGCTCATTTGATAATGAGGCTAGCCCTGTCAAGTTGCATGTGTTCAAAATGTATAATTGCTTTCTTTTTAAAATCTCTATTATGTAAATAACCCAAGTTGAATTACTTGACGCTCTACATTTTGAAATCTTCCCTGTATAAATACGTCCTGGTTGATTTCTAAAGCTTATCTAATGCATTAATTAATAAGGAGAATCGTAATATATTTGAAGGTTAAAAAAATTATTCCACATATATTTATATATACTTTTCATTGTTATGTACTGTCAAGTCCTTTCCAACCCATAATGTCCCCATATTTAGTATACAGAGTTTGTCAGGGACAAAAGAACAAGTACGTTAAAAATTTCTTCTCAAAGGTTTTTTCCAAGCCACATTAAGGACTATGGAGAAAAGTAACCCCTCTCTCTCATTTCCCTCTCTTAGATACATTCCACCGTTGATCTGGGGGAAAAGTGGACACATTCAGACAGCCTTGTATGGGAAGATGGGACGGGTGAGGTCGCCACACCCCTACGGGCAACGGAAGTTCATCATCATGGCAGATGGAGCCACTTCGACCTTCGACCTCTTTGAGCCATTGGCCGAGCACTGTGTCGGAGGTGAGCTGGTTTAGAGCGTGTGGCTGGGCCATTCCCTGTACATATACTTGTCACCAGCTCTGTACACAGCCTGGAGGCTGTTAGGAAACCAACTGAGATACATCACTTGGGACTAACCTGCTGAGATTAGCTCCAGCTTGTGCTTGCAACACACCCTGTTAAGCTCTTAAGATAGAATTATTGAGAGCAATTATTTTAATCCTCTCGTGGAATAGAGAAACTTGATGTAAGGAGATGAAGGAGAACCTGGAGTTCAGAGCTTTGCACCCTTTGTTGATAATAGCAACAGAAGCCAGGGCTGTTCTCAGTGTGTCAAGTTACCACACCAACCCAGCAAGATGTGGCAGTGAACCTGAAGTTAGCCACATGCTAGAGGTCAGCTTTGTTGGTGGGTTAATGATAGTAAGGACTCATTATAAAATGCTACTGGTGAGGCTTTGACAAAGCAGATGTCAGGATCCTTTTGGGTGTCTTCTTCTGGAAGAAAGCATGGCTTATGAATCTATAGTATTCAAGGATGGTTGTTGTTGTTATGTGCCGTCAAGTGGTTTGCGACTCATAGCGAACCTATGTACAACAGCCCTAAACCGTGCTCTATCCTGTGCCAATCTCATTGCCTCTAACACACCCATCCCGATTACCCCAGTCACTGAATCAATCCACCTCATAGAGGGTCTTCCCCTCCTGCGTTGTCCCTCTACTCTACCCAGCATGATGTCCCTCTGTAAAGACCTGTCTCTCCTTACAACATGTCCAAAGTATGTCAGACGAAGCCCCAGAATCCTTGCCTCCAAGGAGCAGCCTGGTTTAACCCTCTCTAGGATGAATCTGTTTTTCTTGGCAGTCCATGGTATATTCAATACTCTTCTCCAGCACCACAGCTCAAAGGCGTCAATTCTCCTTCTTTCCTCCCTAGTCATTGTCCAACTCTCTGATGCATAACAAGTGATTGCAAAAACCATGGCCTGTATCAGGCACACCTTAGTCTCCAGAGAGATACCGTTGCTCTTGAGTACTTTGGAGAGGTCCCTAACCGCAGACTTTCCCATCGCAATACATTTTTTGATTTCCTGGCTACTGGTGCCAAGAGTGTTGACCGTGGAGCTGAGCAAACTGAAGCTGTGAACAATCTCAATCTCTTCACCATCCATCCTGATGCTACCGATTGGTCCAGTGGTGAGAATTTTTGTCTTCTTGACATTGAGCCTCAATCCATATTGAAGGCTACAGTCCTTGACCCTTATGCAGTAAGTACAAGAGGTCCTCCTCAGTTTCAGCGAGCAAGGTTGTCATCTGCATAACACAGATTGTTGATAGATCGTCCACCAATCCTAACGCCATGCTTCTCCTCATAGAGCCCAGCCTCTCAGATAATCTGCTCTGCATACAGGTTGAAAAGGTATGGAGATAGGACGCATCCCTGACGTACACCCTTCCCAATTTTAAACCATGCAGTGTTGCCCTGCTCTGTTCTGATGACTGCCTCTTGGTCCAAGTATAGGTTTCACATTAGCACAATTAAATGTTCTGGGATTCCCATTCTTCTCAGAGTCAGCCACAGTTTGTTATGACCCACACAGTCAAATGCTTTGCATAATCAATGAAACACAGATAGACATTCTTCTGGTATTCTCTGCTTTCAGCTAAGATCCATCTAACATCAGCTACAATATCCCTAGTACCACGACCCGTTCTAAACCCAGCCTGGACTTCTGGCAGTTCTCTGCTGATGTACTGTTCCAGTCGTTTTTGGATAATCTTCAGTAGAATCGTGCTTGCTTGTGAAATCGATGATATTGTTCTGTAGTTTCCACACTCAGTTGGGTCGCCCTTCTTTGGTATGGGAACAAATATAGACCTCTTCCAGTCAGTTGGCCAAGTGGTTGTTCTCCAGATTTCTTGGCACAACTTGGTGAGCACATCCATGGCAGCATCTGTTAGTTGAAATATGTCAATTGGTATACCATCTATTCCGGGGCCCTTATTTTTTGTTTTTTCCTTCGAAGCAGCTTTAACTTCTGCCTTCATCACCATAGGCTCTGGCTTAAATGCTATTAACTTCTTTATCTGCCAGTTCCTTTCGGTACAATGACTCAGTATATTCCTTCCATCTTCTTTTGATACCTCCTGGATCATTTAACATTTTGCCTAAAGCATTCTTGATTGTAGCAACTCGAGGTTTGAATTTGCTCTTCAGTTCCTTGAGCTTAAGAAATGTATTCAAGGGTACCTAGTTATTTATAGGAGCTCACATAATACTTAGGGGTAAATTCCAGTAAACATATTATAGCTCTCAGTTATTTAAAGTAACTAGAACTGCTGAGTCGCTAGTGAGGAAGGTTTAATTTATGTTCCCTCTGCTTGGAATGCTCATCCCTAAACCTTCACATGGCTGCGCACTTTATCCGGGCTTCCGTTCAGCTGTCATCTTCCCAGGCAGACCATCCCTGACTTCCCTCCCTAGTGCTTGCTTCTTGGTAAAGCCATAATACCTCATGCTAACTATTACTCTTTAAACCTATTTGAGTTTACTGTCTGTCTGCTAACATATAGCAGTCCTCAGAATCCAGGACAGTCTGTTCCCAATAAACAGTCCCTTAAGGAATGGATAGGACTTTAGAGCAGAGGTTCACATTGTAGTTGTAAATCTTGTAACTGTTGTCATTATCTGACTTCCCCAATGTCTAAGGTATCTAGTGCTGCTATAACAAAAATGCCATAAATGGGTGACTTTAACAAATTTCTTTTTACACATTTTTAGGAAGCTAGAAGTCCAAGTCCAGGGTGCCAGCTCTGGAGGAAGGCTATCTCCCTCTGTTGACCCTTGAGGAGGGTCCTGGTTTTTAGCTTCTGTTTCCTGGTTCCTTGGAGATGGTCCTATGTCCTGGCATCTCTCTTCCCTCCCTCAGCGTAATCTACACATTTTATATATTGTAAAAGATTGACTTGAGACATGCCCAAATTAAATCCTGCCTCACTGACCTAAAAAAAAGACAACCCTTTCCTAAGCAAGGAGGATGGGATTGACAACGTAGATTTTGAAGCAACTCAATTAATCTATAATGTCCAGGTGAATTTTTTTGTCTTTTATTTTGAATGCTGTTCTTTCTACAGTTAAAGTATAAAATTTAGTCTGGTCATTTTCTTTCTCAGAAATAGGACTAAAGTGGGAAGTTGAAAAAGATTGGAACTTGTTCCTGCCTTTCCATGACCCCACCTTGTCCTTGACTCCTGCTCTACAGAAAAGATGGCTGGAGGTGGTTCTGGGGAAGGCAGTATTTGCTCTCAAAGAATGCTCTGAGAAAAGCAGGCCTTCTCCCCCTTCTCCGCTCACTCATCAGTGTGCTTAGGTTCTAAAGTGCACAAGGAGCAACTCAGCCAGGGGGAGCTGTCCCCATCGGCAACAACATCCACAATATAAAACTGATCTCTGTAAGGGCACACATGGTCCCCATGCAAAATACAGCCCCTAAGTTGGTTCAGACAGTACTCAGTCAATGGTAGGATACAATTCCTCAGTGAATCCAAGCAGCTTCTCTATCAACAGCAAGATAACTCTGGTTCTGGAACCTCTTTGCCTGGTAGTCATGCAGTGCTTTCTCGGCTTTTCTTTCCTAATGTCAGAGTTCATCTCAGGGCTCTGGCCCTGGCTCCATTAGGCTGTGTCTTGTCACATTTTCTTTCTCTTTTTTTTCTTCTCTTATTATTAATTTTAATGAAAGTTTAGAGAGACTTTGGATTTCCATTCATTCATTGTTGTACTTTTCTCCCTGCCCAAACCTCCCTCCTCCCCAGTTCACTCTTCTCTTTGAAAAGTAAAAGATCTACAACCAGGAAAAGATAAAATAGATGAATGGGACCTTCTAAGAATTGAATCCCTATGCATATCCAAAAACTTCTCCAACAGGGTAAAAAGGGAAGCCACAGACTGGATAAGAGACTTATATCTAGAATTTATAAAATACTTGAGCACCATAACAAGATAAAGGTAAACAATCCAATTGAAAATGGACACAGGATATGAACAGACACTTCACCAAAGAAGACATGTTCAAAATCCCTAGCTCTAAGAGAGAGGCAAATCAAAACAACTATGAAATATCATCTCACCCCAGACAGAATAGCAAAATTTAACGAACATCAAGCAACAAATGCTGACGAGGTTGTGGAGAAACTGGAACCCTTATTCAGTGTTGGTGGGAATGTAAAATGGTACAACCACTGTGGAAGGTGGTATGGCACTTTGTCAAAGTTGCAAATAGAAATACCATTTGACCCAGCAATTCCACTACTGGGAATATACCCCAAAGAGACCATAACTGACATCCAAGCAGATATATGCACACCCATGTTTATCGCGGCTTTGTTCACAATAGCAAGGAGTTGGAAACAACCCAGGTGCCCATCCACAAATGAATGGATAGAGAAACTGTGGTATATTCACACAATGGAATACTATGCTGCATTGAAAAACAAGGAACTCATGCGATATCATTTAAAATGGGTGACCCTGGAGGACATGATGCTGAGTGAAATAGCTCAGTCGTAAAAGGACAAATATTGCATGGTGCCACTGCTGTAAAATGGGACTGATAACAGGGTTGTGGTAAGACTGAGAAAAACTGGATAAATTGTGTATACTGCACTGAAACAAATGAGGAAGAGAATAATTTAAAAGAGATATATGATAGAGTATTATAGTTATCACAAGAGTCCACAATTAAGGTTGCATAGTAGAATGTACTTGGGGCGGTGGGAGGGGTGCGGAGGGGATTGTGTACCAGGGAAAGAATGTTTATTTTACTTTTCAAAGAGAGGAGCGAACTGGGGTTGGGGGCAGGGCTGGGTGGGGAGAGAAGTGCAGCAATGAATGAATGGAAATCCAAAATCTCTGTAAATGTTCATTAAAATTATTAAAAAAAAGAATGGATAGGAATGATTCACTAATTACTTGTGAGTACATCCTTCCAAACTTTTCAGCTTACTGAAAAATAAATGAACTCATTCTGTAAGTATATATTAAAAAAAATAAATAAAAATCACCTGGTCTTATTGAAAATAGGCTCATTGAGAGCCTGTGGTCTGTTGGGAAAATGATTGTAATACACGTTAGTCGCAGGAACTCTTAGTGTCCAAAAATAAGTGTTATAAAAATATATGTAAAAAAGCTTCTCTTTTAGGTTTCTAACATATATTGTTGGGAAAAAAAATGGTCAACAAAATAAAGTAACAACTAACAACCCACCAAAAAAAAAAAAGAAAAGAAAAGAAAAATTCTTTCATTGTTATACAATCCCTCCCCCCAAGTCCACTCACTTTGCAACCTTCGTTGTGGACTCCTCCCATGACAATATCAAATCATATATCCCTTTTAAACAGTTCTCTCCCTCATTCTGTTTCAATGCAGAATACATAATTTATCCCATCTTTCTCAGTCTCCCCCCAACCCCAATGTCAGTCCTGTTTTACAACAGTAGCACTATGCAGTATTTTTGTTCTTTTATGACTGAGATATTTCACTCAGCATAATGTCCTCCAGGGTCATGCATTTTGCGTAATATTTCATGAGTTTCTTGTTTTGCAATGCAGCATAGTATTCCTTTGTGTGAATATACCAGAGCTTCTCTATCCATTTGTTTGTTGATGGGCCCTTAGGTTGTCTCCAACTCCTTGTTATTGTGAGCAAAGCTGTGATAAACATGGGTGTGCATATATCTGTTTCGGTATCAGTTATGGTCTCTTTGGGGTATATTCCCAGTAGTGGAATTGCTGGGTCAAATGGTATTTCTAGTTCCAACTGTTTGAAAAAGTACCATACCCATACTGCCTTCCACAGTTGCTGCACTGTTTTATACTCCCACCAACAGTGAATAAGGGTTCCAGTTTCTCCACAACCTCGCCAGCATTTCTGCCACATTTTCACTACAATCTGGTGACCTCTCTCTCATGTTGGTCTCATAGCTGTCAGTGTTCTTAAAGATGTTGATCAGCAGCAAACCGTGTGTCCACAGTTGAGGCAGCTGGAGACCCTGCCCCTGGGCTGGGGCTAAGATGACAGATAGAAAAGCCGTTCTCAGAAGTCCTAACACCACACCAGATCATTCATTTGAAAATCATTATGTGAAAATGAAGGATGACCATATCAGATCACAACTTGAAGGATGTCTACATGGAATTTTAAGTAAAATTATATAACTGCCAGATGACATCATTATATAACTGTCAGAGTCGACCAACACAAAGTCAAAGACTGACCACCACAGCCAGTGTTATTCTTGCCCATCATGTCACTAATACACAAAACAAAGAGTAGATTTTATTATTATTATCATTATCATTATCATCATCATCATCAACCTGAGAGCTGGACAATGAATAAGGATGATGGGGAAAAAAATCAATGCCTATGAACCGTGGTGTCAGAGAAGAGCAGTAACTAGCCCATGGACGGCCAAGAGAACAAGCAGATATGTCTTGGAGAGGGTGCAGCCAGAGTGCTCTTTGGAGGCAAGAATTATGAGGCTTCACGTCACATACTTTGAACATGTTGCTAAGAGGTGTTATCCCTCGGAGGACATGATGCTGGGAAGCATGGAGGGTCAATGAAGGAGAGGAAAACCCTCAACCAGGAGGATTGACACAGTGACTGCTGCAGTGGGCTCTTGTGTGTCAGGAAGTGTGAGGATAGGGCAGGATAGAAGAGGGTTTAGATACTTTGTTCAGAGGGTTGCTATGAGTCGTGCTCGACTCAGTAGCATCTAACAACAACAACAACATTGTCATAAATGCAAAATGACAGATAATGTATAGTCCATAAATGAGAGTAGGTGAATTTTCTTTGACTTAAAAAAAAAAAGTCACTGTCCAGCATACCATTAACATATTCTTTCAGTTCTGTGTAGTGTGTCCAAAATTTTAATTACTATGATTGTTGTTGTAAATTTTTCCTATGCCATTAAAAGTCTTCAAAATTAAAAAGTCATGATTACTTAATATTCTGTGATGTGATACTGTTCCATAATTATAGTCACACCATAAGTTAGCCATTCTTTTATTGTTGGGCAGAGTCCCTGAGTTAATGTATTTGGTTACTAACAAAATGTTGAAAGTTTGAATCTGTCCAGAAGTGCCTTGGAAGAAAGGCCTGGTCATATCTGAAAACCACCCACTGGGAACCTGTGGAGCACAGTTCTGCTCTGACACACATGGGCCACCACAACACAGAGTCTGCTTAGCAATTGGTTGGATATTTACAGTTTTGTCACCATAAATAATTCTGTGATGAACATTCTAAATCATAAAATTGTCAGCAAGATTTCCAGAATTAGAAATACTTGCTCAAAGTATATAAACTTGTTAAACTTCCTTATGCATATTTTAAAGTTGCCTGCTCATTTGCATATATCCTTACCAGCATTAAGAATTTTTTCATTGCTTTTATCTTAACTTTTGGTCCTGGCTCAAGCTGTCCCAGTCCCTTCCTCTTGAGCTTAAGGAGTTCTCATAGTGTAGCTAGACAGCAGGGTTTCACCCAAAGTCATATCTTAAATTTTGGAGGAGAATGAATCATTAGCTTTAGTAACCTAAACACTGTTAACTTTTCTTTTAAAAAAGATACATTCATATTTTTAATAGAATAATTCATGCCCTTGATAGAAATTTTAGAAGATGTTAAAGGACCGTGTGGTGAAATCTCTCTCGCACCTCTGGGACCTGCCCTGGACTCCTCCCCATTGTTACCCACTCTTGAGATTCACGCATCTGCTCCAGAGCTAGTGGACGCTTCATGCACTGACAGCTGTTATGTTGCTGTCCATCGATTCTGGCTCTCAGCAGCCCAGCTTTTCAGAATAGAACTGCCCCGTAGCATTTTCTTGGCTGCGATCTTAATGGAAGAAAAGCACTCACCTTTTCCTTCTGCAGTATCACTGTGTAGGTCCCAACCACCAGGCTTTAGATAAACAGCACACTGTGCACCTAGGAACCTTATTTATTTCTTTTAAAAGTATCCTTTATATGCAGGGTCATGTATCATAACCCTCTTTTGCATCTTGCCTTTTTAAATTTTTACTTAATATGTTGGAGAGCTTGCTATATCAGTTTCACTTTTTCCTCTAAATGTTTATATTTTGTTGTAAAGCAAAACATACACCAATTCAACTGTTTCTATACCAATAGTTAAATGACACTGATTATATTCTTTGAGTTGGGCAACTATCCTTACCCTTATTTTCTGAGCTGTTCCTTCCACTTTAACTAAACTCATGGTCCATCTAAGAAGGTTCTTATCATTCATGTTTCTCTTGTCAATGTGAATCTCACTTAAGTAGATCTTTTTTGAGCTAGACTGTTGTTTGGCTTTAAGAAAACATAGGAGATCATTATTTTGGCTTATGGTTTAAAGATTATCTCAAAGAATTCATTTCAGGAGTTCATACAGCCTCCTTAGCTCCAGAAAGTACAAAGTCTATGACAATAAGAAATTCTGCTTTAAAAAAAGAAGAAGAAGAAATTCTGCATTTCTCCCCTTTTGGTTGTGAATCTTCTATAGAATCTCTAGTGCTGTAGTAACAGCAGTCAGGCACCATCTAGACCTTCTAGTCTCATGGCAAAGGAAGAACTTTTCAATAGAAGTTAATTAGCCACACATTCCATATCCTCCTCCTATTCTTGACTCTCTTCTCTCTGTTGCTTCAGGCAAATAGGTGCCAAGTGCTTGGCCTTGGATGGCCACTGCAAGTTTTTTTCAGACTCTGAATTCTATACATAACAGTTCATAAAAAGGTGTCTCATTTTTAAGGACTACATTAACATATTATCATTGGGATTTGAAATACTTGACTAAGCAGCCATTGTCTGGACATTAAATTGTAGTCAGTCCTTGGCCATTACAATGTATACTTTGAAAGTAAACACTGTATACTATGATATTTTGTATATACACAAACTATCTGTGCATAAGGTTAGATACTTGAAAGTAAAATTGCTGTGCAAAAGAATCTGCAAAAAATTTCCCACTCATTCATTCATGCATTTGCTCAGCAAGATTCAGCACCAGTTGTGTTCCTGTGTGGAGGCTTAAGTGCCCCAGAACCAGCCTGGCCTCTGTCTCTGAAAATTCTATGGGGCACAGATGTATTCTGACACCCATGGAGTGACCAGGAGTCAGAATGACTCGGCCCAAACTGGTTGTATATTACACATGGCTAGAAGCTAAGGGTCCAAAAGAAGTGTCTTTCCAACTTGCTCTTTTAAGAAAAAGCTAGAAATCCTTAACTAATCCCAGATTAAAATGTGGTCCACAGCTAGTCCATGAATCACTTATGTAATGAGATAAGGATGGAAATTGAGAATAATGTTGGGAAACTGTCTTGCAATTTGATGAAATAATTTTGTATTAGTTGAAACTAAAAATTTTTTTTTAAATCTTTTTTTCTATTCACTTTTCTAGTAATTAGCTTTTAATGTAATTGTCAAAAGTACCTGCCTGTGATGGATATGAAATTCTTTATAACTGGCCCCTAAAAATCATAAATTGTTTGAGAAACGTGGATAAAGATAGCTCTGGCTCTGGTGGCTTAGTGTTATGGAGCTGTGCTGCCAACCCTAAGGCACACAGTTCAAATCCACTGGCTGCTCCTTAGGAGAAAAATGGGCAATCTCCTCTTGTGGCATTTACTGCCTCTGAAAACCTGCAGCAGAGTCAGTTATGAGTCGGTTCCAACTCGATGGCACACATCAACAACAACTAGAAGGGAAAGATAATGTTTCCCAGGGAATTTTGTGGAAATATGTAGAGTAAGGTCCCTCCTGCCATTATGTGTAGTAGTATTCATTACATAGTTTATCATGGAAACGTGGGGTACATTGAGGTCTCCTTCTCTGCCCTGTAGATGATGTCACCATGGTCATCTGCCCCGGGATTGCCAATCACAGTGAAAAGCAGTACATCCGCACCTTCGTCGACTATGCCCAGAAGAATGGCTATCGGTGTGCCGTGCTGAACCACCTGGGTGCCCTGCCCAACATTGAGCTGACCTCACCACGCATGTTCACCTACGGTAAGCACGGGGCATGGCCAGGTAGATGCAGACTCCTCTTTCTGCATCTCATTGCATGCACAAACCTTCTTCTGCCTCAGCCTTCTTGTGACGTTTAGCATTTTCATTCTGTGTACAAGTGTAGCAGAAGGGACGGTGGGATATACAGTATGGTAGCAGCCGGCTTGTGCTGGGCCTTTTTGATGCTGTGCCTGCATCCCATGGAGGAACCCGAAGCTCCCAGGTGTTGGCCACGCTCCCCAGCCTTTTAGGTGTCAGGGCAGAGTTGGGAGCCAAGTAGATTGGGCTTGTCAGCTCTCTGCCTTCATCGCCCTGCTGCCCTGACTCTCATTCCTCAGGACTCCTGTGACTGCAGGGTAGTGATGAGGCCTGTGACTGGCAGTGGGAAGGGAACTTGATAGGTAACAACTTGCTGGATTTCACATCCTTTCCATCCAAGAACTGGACTTCAATTAGACGCATGCGCTATGCCCAGTATTGAAGCCCTGTTTTCTGGACTACTCTTGGTTCTTTGTATCTATAATCCCACCCTCAAGGGTGCTTCTTGCGGGGAAGGATGATGGAACTTTTTCACACTTTGGGCAGTTGTCAGGAGAGGCCAGCCCTTGGAAATCATGCTTGGAAGGATGAACAGTCAGCCAAAGAGAGGAAACCCTCAACAAGGTGGATTGACACAATGGCTGGAGCACTGGGCTCGGGTAGCAGGGCTGGTGAGGCTGGCACAGGACAGAACAGGGTCAGGTCTGCTGTTCATAGGGTTGCCGTGAGTCCTGGTCAACATGCCTTCACCTAACAACAACACAACAGCTGTGTTATTTTGTTTCTCCTTTTCATCTTCCTAGTCAGTCTTTATCTATGTGTGAGTAATTTTTCAGTTCAGTCACAGTATACAGTGATTTATTTAAATAACTTTATATTATAATCACCAGCAAAAAGGTGCATCATCATTATATTGAACTGTTATTTTTGGTTTTCTTAACTGTTTTTTAAAGCCCCATTTCTATTGTCACTCTGTCATAGTTTATTTAACTCTTCTGTGTAGGGCATTGAGGTCAAGTGTTTGAAAGGTATTTTTCTTTTTGAATAATGATGTTATGAATACCTTGTGTGAAGAAATTTTTGTTCTCGTCTCTGTAATAACTTCTTCTGAGCAACTTGGCAGGAATGGATTGTGGTGCCGACGTTTCTTTATGCTCTTGTGTATGGACATTGTCACCTTGTCTTCTAGCAAGGTTGCCCGACGTTATGCTGCTGTTTCTAACAAATACGGATGTTTTCTCCCTCAGCGAAGAGCACGCTGTAACAGGTGCTCTGTGCCAGGTAGAGTGTGGCATTTTCTACTTCACACCCCTTCCACTCTCAAAAGACACACATCTTACAGCGACTCTTCAGCAGCTGACAAGTCTGTGGCTTGAAGACCCGAATGAATGTTTAGACCTTAAGATGACATGGGCACATGGGCACAGTGTATCCAGAATTGGATCCAAAAGGCAGAAATGGGCAGATGCTAATTAAAGCTGATAAATTTCTGCACTTGAACATAAACATTAGTCTGCACACATAGGGGTTGGGGAGGCATATCTTGGCCCCAGGGCCTGAGATAGGGACTTGGGGCCACTATTTGGCAGCTCAATGCACCAACATAACAGAAGGGCCAATGAGGGCCTGCACCATGGCCACGTGCTGGGCTGCTACCTCACCTAGACACTGTTATCCCTGTCCCCTCCATAACAAGGTGGATACTAGCATTCTCTGGGGTCAGGGGGACAGCCAGAGGTATAGGTCAGTAATTGGAGCAAGGTATCGAGCCAGTAGGTAGAGGAGCTAAACATGGACTGTTTCTAGCTGCCTCATCTTCTAGTATCTTCTCAGAACTAGTAGAAAAGCCAGATCCCCTCAGCCCAGAGGCCTGTGCTACAGGAGACCAGACTGGGAGGTGTCACCAGGTCAGGGGAATCTCCTGGTTGGGGGAGCAGAGGAAAGGTGAGCTCAGTGTGGGACAGGGTCTGCGGGGAGCTAGGTCTGGAGACTATCTCTGAATCTACATACTACCCCGGGGGTGCTGCACCAGCTCCATGGCCTTGAGCAGGTCACTGAGCCTGAGCTCACACGCTGTCATTTCAGTTTAAAATTATGTGCTTTTAATGAATGTGTCCCTGGGCTGGTGAATCAGGAGCAATTCTTTAATAAAATAGGCCTAATGCATTTAGGAGACATATTGTACTAGGAAAGTCTGCAGTCAGGTACTTCTTCAAATTATTGAGGCGTGGTGATGTTAGTTTAAGGGCTCAGGGTGTGCCTGATTCAGGCCGTGGTCTTTTCAATCACTTACTGAGCATCTAAGAGCTGGACAGTGAATAAGGATGACAGAGAAGAATTGATGCCTTTGAGCTATGGTGTTGGAGAAGAGCACTAAATATCCCACAGACTGCCAAAAGAACAAACAGCTATGTCTTGGAAAAGTGCAGCCAGAATGCTCCTTGGAGGCAAAGATGAGGAAACTTCATCTAGATGCTTTGGGCATGTTGCTAGGAGAGGTTATTCCTTGGAAAAGAGGCATCATGCTTGGAAAAGTGGAAGGACCGCAAAGGAAGAGAAGACCTTTAACCAGATGGATTGGCACAGTGACTGCAGGAGTGGGCTTGAGTGTGCCAGAGATTGTGAGGATGGCACGGTATAGGACAGTTAGCATCAGTACAAATGTTTTTGTCAACATTTGTTTCTCCACCTAGGATCATTTGTGCATTTGTACTTATTGTTACTTTGTGATGCAGTTTGCTATTGTTAGTACTAACCCTGTCTCATTAATTCTTAGGAGTAGCTTTTGTCCCCTAGCCTGTTTTTTTTTTTTCAGCTGGACTTTTATAATTGTTTGTTCAAGTTCTGTGTTGAATTTATCCATCAAAATGAACCTGATTATGGTGTAAAAACAACCCACGAATCTCAGTGTTTTAAAACCAAAGATTTATATCTTTCTCCCACTGTCCACCTTGGGTTGTTTGGGGGTTTTGTACCTCTGTCCTCACTCAGGGACACAGCCAGAGCAGGTCCTGGGGGAAGGGACGTGTCTCAGAATTCTGCCCAGAAATGGTAGAGGTCAGGCCACGGACAAGTCAAACTGCAGCGGGCGGGGGAAGGTGCGTCCTTACCGGAAAGGGAAACAGCCACTGCCAGCTCTAGCACATTGAGCTGTAGGTTTTGTACGTAAATCTTAGCTTGCAAATCAACTTGGAAATGCTTACTTTCATAGTACATTCTTTTCCCACCCAGGAACATGACATTTTGCTTCAGGTCTTCCTTTATTTCTTCCACGGAGAGTCTCCCAGTTCACCTTGTGCAGGTTCCAGGGCTTGTCAACCTGGCTGACCATGGAATCCCCATGAAGCTAGTAAGTCCACCAGTGCCCGCAGCCCAGTCCTGGGAGTCGTTGAGGGTTGAGAGACATGGGTTCAGGTCTTGCACAGCCCTTGTTACCTCTTCAGTTGCCTTTGTTTTAACTTGTATATGGAAATGTTTAAACACTCAAGAGAGACACTAGTAGAATGTCCTTGAGGTAGGTAGACTCTTGTGCTACTCATCTCATGGTCAGTCTTGTTTCCTCCAGCTTCTCTGCATCCCTGGTCAAAGATAATTTGGAAGCAAACCCCAGACGTGCAATGTTTTATCTGTGTGTGTATAAAGAGGCAGTGCAGACTCTTTGTTTAAAAAGTGCCATAATAGTGCTCGCTTCGGCAGCACATATACTAAAATTGGAACGATACAGAGAAGATTAGCATGACCCCTGCGCAAGGATGATACGCAAATTCGTGAAGCGTTCCATATTTTAAAAAAAAAAAGTGCCATAATAACATCATCACGCAAGAAAAATTCTACTGTAGTCCTTAATTGCCAATATTTGCTTAGGTTTCAGTTACTCCTGCTTTCCTCTTTCTTCATTTTTAAATTATATCAGTAATAGATCATTGAGTCTGCTCTACCTCATGGTGATCTGAGTACAACAGAACAATCGTGTGTTCAAGTTCAGAGTTACAGGTCCTGTGTATTTTGAATGCCTTCCATCCCAAGGGGCTCTTCTTCCACTACAGTATCAGACAGTGGTCCTTTGTGATCATAGCATTTTCCTTGGTAGATAGCCCGGCCTTTCTTCCTAATCTTTTTTTAGTCTGGAGACTCCACTGAAACGTGTGTACCACAGGTGGCCCCGCTAGTTGTTGACATTCTCGTGGGATACCTTCCCTCATCACAGCGACAGAGAAGCCAATACAGCACAATACAGCAAACTGGCAAGCAAGTAGTGGTTTTAAATTACTGTTTAAGTCAGGGTCCAAATTAGGTCTATATATTGCAATTGGCTGTTAGGTTTATTGAGCCACTTTTCACAGATCCCCACTTGGGTCTGCCTTCTCCACATGGGGTGAGTAGATGAGGTATTCATGGGTTCCCTGGAGCGCATGACACCAGGTTGGCCTCCCTGGAATGGCATGTACTTGAGCACCAGGCCATGGCCCCTGGGCAGTGTGGAAGGACCCTAGGAACAAGGAGCACAGCGTGGGGTGAGTGAGTGAGGTCTCCTCGGGGCCCCTGGATTCCTCCTGGGATGGTGTGTACGCGAGCACCAGACCATGGCCGAGAGCAGTGTGGAATGACCCCAGGAGCAAGCACAGGCTGCCACCAGTCTCCCTTCCAGCCCTGCAGCGCCTTCGTGCAGTATCAGAGCCTCTTTTCAGATGTGTGGTTCATGATAGGGACAGGACAGTAAGCCAGCTTATTTGTAAGCACAGGCTTATTTGTGCTAATTTACTAATCAGTGCACATAGTCTTAGTAAAGAATGTGGAGAAAACCATGTGAAACTGTTTATTACAGATTAGTAAGGAGGCACATGACAGCCTGTGCCTACCTCATTTACTGGGTGATCCAGCCCTTCCCCATGGCCACTAAGCTGTACAGGTGGCCCAGGGCCTGCAAATCCCTGAACAGAAGTCTAGCCTGCTCTTTTTAT